CCAACAGAAACACAACAGCCCTGGCAACTATTTAAAATATGTGATGAGAAAATAAAACCATATATAACAACTAAAATACAAAGCATATTATTGGACTGATAATAAGTTGAGTTTTATGTTTATATTATATTGCAATAAAAACTTATAATTACTCTCTGTCAAAATAAACTCACAAGTACAATCAATCAAACCACATTCTTCTTGTTATGAGAACATAATTGCATTGGGCTTTATTGTACCTGTTGAAGAGAAGTACATATCAACAAGTACATGCCGAGTATAAAGTACAAACAGAGAAACCTTAACCTGGCCTCAAATACTGACATGTAGAAAAGAAACACAACCATTAAAGCTTTCTGAGGTATGTTTTTGTGGAGTCATAGGTGAAAAGATCTGATCTTCTAATGATTTGTTAGGTGTAATTCGAGTTCACTGGTTGTAATGTTGTAGAGAAATATAATTACAGATTTTGTGACAGAATTTCAAGTGTCTATCTCATTATAGCAGGGAGTTTTTGCTCTGTGCTGTTTCACCATTTTTTTTCTTCTGGGAATTTTGAACAAAGTTTTGTAATGAGTCCTTCCAAGAGGGAAGGACTTGGCTGGAAGAAAGGAAGACAGTAAGCTGTCCCCTGTGATTAATTCAAATGAGATGAAGCATGAACCCCATAGGAGTGTTGCTTAGATAATTACAGCAAAGGAGACGAGAGCAAACGTTATCCTGCTGACAAAACCAAAGTCACAAGAACAATTAATGAAGGTAAAGAAAGCCTGATGATCAGCCCCGGCACGGCCCTGAGCTCAGAGGGCGAGCGGCATTTTTCAGCATTTGCATGGTGGCTGCTTCTAATATTTGTTGTGGTAGAAAGCTGGATGTGGTGTATTATTTATGGACGTGGTGTGGTTATAAAGTTCTCTTTTTACTGCAAGTTCTGCAATCCCTGAGGGAGTGTTGTTAGTTGTTAGTGGTTCTCTGTTGTCTGTTTTATGGTTTGCTTATATTGTTTCCCACTGAGCAGGGAGGGGGTTTGTAATGTAAATGCATGTTTCAGTCCTTTTTGCTTTGTCCCCTTAATATTTATTAATGCCTAACTTCTTCTCTTAATATTCAGGCCAGTAGCACACTGAGTAGCATAGGGACTTCCTGAGTACTTGGAGTGGAAAGGTTTTCTATGCTGAATGAATCCACCAGATTAGTGTTTCAAGCTAAATGCTACTGAGTACCAAACATGCGTAGCAAACAGAGTCTGCAAGCTGCACAGTGTAGCACAGTCAAGGAGCCATTTCTCATATCACATTTGTGCCTGTAGTTTCTGTAGCGCAGCAAGTAATGATTGTTGCATTTAATGATTAATGTGTTCATTTTTATTTTTTTTTAATAGTGAAAATGATTTTCCCAGAGCTCAACATGACATCTTCAGTTGGTTATTGTGTCTGATCAGCAGTTTGTAGCCCAAAGGTATTCAATTATCAGTTATATTCAACAGAGAAAATCATTGGCATTTTTAGTTGCTAAATGACTTAGGAAATTAATCAATTTAGCACTACTGTACCTGCAGTTATGAAAAGTAATGTACTTTTCATAGTCTTCCACAACAAAACTTGTAGTTTGTAACTGCCCTCCAGAATGACACATGCACGTCGTATCTGTGCTGATGCCCCCATCTTCAGGACAGTACAGTTGGTATTTCCTGGGCGGCTGTGGCTCAGGAGGTAGAGCGGGTTGGTCGTTAATCGGAAGGTCGGCGGCTCAATCCCTGGCTCCCCCTGGTTGCGTGTCGAAGTGTCCTTGGGCTATTCTGCCAGTGTATGAGTGAGTGTGAATGTTAGTTTCCGTTTGAGCACTTAGGCTCAGTGTATGAATGCGTGTGACTGGTGAATGCAGATGTAGTGTAAAAGCGCTTTGAGTGGTCGAAAAGACTAGAAAGGCGCTATACAAATACGGAGCATTTACATCCTTTCCAAAACCATCACAAATCACCGTTTCAAAAATAATATTTAAGGTTAAGAAATATTCCTGGCTAAAGGTTTGACAAATTTACAGCCCCTAAAACATTGTCTGCAAATGTAAACTATTAAATATTTGTAACTAAAAATGCAACAATCAAAGTTTTGAAGCAAACATCCTTTCCGTATTATTTGTTAACACTCAAAAGCTCAGCTAATCTGCTTCATCAAGATTGCGTGGTTGTTGTTTAATCTCATTTGATATGATTAGTGACTTTAAATCAGTGAGAAGGGCTCATAATTTAATTATTAATAATTTTTGTAGTAAACTGATTTTGGAAATAGGTTTTTAGGATCTTAAAACTGACCAAACATCACCCCAATGTCAACCAAAGTCAGTGACAACTGCAGCTGTGGCTGTAGGTCACATCCTCCTCAGCCAGAGAGTAGGTCTCGTTGTGGTTTCTTTGCTCTGCACTTAGCACCTTCAGGAGCTGCCTTTGCTGCATCTGACTAGGTGACCATCCCTAATCACGTTTGTCTAACATGTCATACTTGGAGATTGGGAGCTTTACCCTGCCACACATCTTCAATTCAACACAGTCATGGAAATAGGTCATGATTTATCTTGTTTTCTTTAATTATTGATGTATTTAATTCTTTCTAGAAAACTGTCTATGAGCCGTAGTGCAAACTGTGCTGTGAGCAGCGCGCTCTGTTTACATCTGACTGCCTGTGTCAGGGGCCTTTAGTCTGACAGATGGAGAACCTTGGGCGCAGATTCACCGTGTCATTCTGTCTAAGGAATGAGGTTTCAAGACAGGCCAACTTTCCTCAGACGGGGTATTTTTGGAACAAACAATCAAAGAAGATCAGAGAGAGAATGTGTGTGCTGTGATGTGTTTACTGTTGCACTGCTTTCTCAGAGGTTCAGACTTTCACACATCTTGTTTTATTCACGTCACTCATTTATCCAGAGAGAGTGCATGAACTCACAAGATTCAGGCAGTGGTGATTTCTGTCTAAAGTGTCCATGTTCTTCTATAAGCATGAAAGCTCCAGCATTCTAATAAACCGAGTAAAAATTTAGATCAATGGGGATATTAATTTTCAGCCTCACACTGCAGTATTTTCACTCTCAGAGCAACATCGTTATTCTTAAATGCTTCGCTAATGACCTAATCGATAAGCTGCTGTGAAGTTGTCAAAATCCTAAATCAGAGAATTATGAGTCAGCACTGAAAATCTGCCTCTGAATAACACAGGCACTGAATTTCAGACGTTGAAATTCATTACTCTACTGGTTTTCAAAACTATTAGAATTGTAAAATTTCTTTTGACTTTCATTTGTTCTCTGCTCCTGCTACGTACAGACAGAGCTTGAAATAGGTTCATACTAAAAGCAATGCACCACATTCATCATGAAAGATACCAGAAAGTTAGATTTACTTCATCTCTGTGGCTGGTGTAATTTTTACAGAAAACTGTTGAGTTATGAGGTCGTTTGAGTCCTCGGGACCTTGGGAAACATATTACATGATTTTCTCATTCATAAATAAACTGAAGTTAGGCTTTACTCAACAACTATGTGTTAAAACTGTAGGAAAATGTTTGCGTTATGGCTTCTCAAATGCACACAATTTTTTTGGTCATTTCAGAGGACATTACATTAATTCTCTGGGGACTTACCTGTAACTAGTACTACTTGCATAATCCTTAATTCAAATCTTCATTGTAAACCAACTGTGTGTGGAAAGATGTTTGTTCTACAATATGACAGGTAATTCCACCTTATTGCAGTTTGGATTCATATTCATATGTTAACATTTTACATGAAAAAAGGCAAGTAGCATCATGCATGGATGACACTGACGCAAATGTATACTGTACGTTGTAGTAAGTCCACATAAAGAAATAACTTGTTTCCTTATTTGTTACATGAGAAGAGTGATACCATTCTCATATCTATCCATTAAATATGAAGGCAGCAGGAGATGGTTTGCTTAGCTAATCATAAAGACTGCAATGGGGGAAACAGCTAGCCTGGCTCTGTTCATAGGTAACAAAATATGTCACTAATTAACAATTTTTGTCTTGTTTGTCATAAAAACAACAGTTCACCATTTTACAAGGGATTATGTGCTGCTGTAGCGGCCAAGTTTCCAGTGTTTGTGCTAAGCTAACTGACAGATATGACAGTGGTATTGATCCTCTCATCTAACTGTCTCCCTGTAAGGTAATAAGCATATTTCCCAAAATGTTAAGCTATTCCTTTTTTTTAAATTTTATTTTAATTTTATTGCTCCTATCAAATGCAGCTGCAGCTTCCGTGTCAAATGAAAATTACTTCAGCACCATGAGCACCTCACTCACTATTGACTGGTTTATTTACAACCGGTCTGATTTTCTGACTGCTCATTTTTGGTCACGCGATATAGAAACAATGGTAAAAAAAATCTGAATTATCCTTTAATAGAATTACAATATTATGTCTGTCCTATCCAAGCCTACAATAACATTTCTAATGGCAGGAAGTTCACTAGGTTTAAAAATGCTCTCCTGATTCATTTGACATTTTGCACACACACTGACAGAGATATTGTAGTTTCCTGATGATGGTCATGTAAGAAAACTGGGAGGGGGAAAAAGAGAAAAATAAGAGCTAAAGATAAAATGAGGATAGAATAAGAGCACAGACTCCTAGGGGATTTACTGAGAGGCACGATGTGCGTAAGATTTAATTTCAAGGCAGCAATTTCCCACTCAGCAAGGACTGTGTGGGCATATGTGTATGAATAAATGTACGGTGAATCAGAGGGTGTGCAAAAGGGGGAGCTTGCTCTGCTTCACCACAGAAGTGCTGCAAGTACTCACATGTTGAAAGAGTTGTGCAGAAAATTAATGTGTGCACTGAGAGTAATGTGTAGGACTTTGTTATAATGACTAGATCTCAGTGTTGGACACAATAGTATAATTTTATCTTTAATGAGTATCTTTATGACATTATGTTGGTAAAATACATGCACTTTTCTCGTGTCGAAATATATCCTCCAGGTGATTTGGTATCCCGGGCAATGCACCACCTCCAGCCACTGCACATCAAGAACCCCAGCAATGGGACTCCAGTCCACCAGAAGACCACCACCACAGTCCACTGGGAGCCTGAGGCCCTCTATACCCTGTGTTACTTCATGCACTGCCCACAGATGGAATGGGAAAACCCCAACGTTGAGCCCTCCAAAGTCACCTTACAGACTGAGAGGTGAGGCTAACAGTAACCCTGGAAATTATTTAATCCAAATCTAGGACCAGTTTGCCTAAATATTTTATCATATTAGCTTTTTTTTTTGGACCAAGAAGCAGTATCTAAGGGTGCTTTCACACCTGTAGTTCGGTTCATTTGGTCCAGACCAAGTTAGGTTCTGGTCCAGTTCGTGTTCACACTGCAGTTTTACAAATGAACCAAGAGAAGTAACCATGGCGTTACACAGACTTACAGGTAACTTGTTGATTGGACAGTTTTGGCGATTGTAATCCTGAATCATCAGGACCCACATGGGGAAATCAATCTCCACTGACTGACAGACGTTTATGCAGCACTCTAATACTTCTGATCTGTATCGCAAAGAGCTCTCAAAGTAATAATTTATTATAAGCATGATTAGTAATTTTAGACCACAGATCGACCACATAGTCTATTAAGAATAACGTAAAAACAGGACATGTACAGTAATAATTCGGGTCTTATTAGCCTATAGTATACTGTGGTATTGCTGTCACAAAAGTTTAATGAACTTAATGAACTGACAGGGTAAAGGGAATAATACTTGCCCTTCTTCAAGCATACCGAGACCACCTCTTCAAGGAGGTCTCGGTATGCTTGTTTGGTCCGCTTTTGGTGCGCACCTGAGTATGATTTCTGCATTCACACCTGCCCAAACAAACCGCACCAAAGGGGAAAATGAATTCTAGTGCGATTCAACCACCTAAATGAGGTAGTCCCAAGTTGGTTATGGTTAAACTGTGGTGAATCTTTGTGCAGTGAATGTCATCCATACTGTCATTGGATGAAAATTATTTTCTTTGCATCGAATGCACCTTTGGTGGCATTCTTGAATTTTTAACAAAAAAACAAGCAAAACAAAAAACAGGAGGGACAATACATTTTGTCTTAGCAGAGAAGCAATACATGTAGCGCTTATTTGTACATTTTTCTGGCCAATGCAGATTATTTTGTTCCCTTCAGTTTCATTATGTCCCAAAAACAAAAAAAAACAAATGGGCAGGACATTATTTCTCAGTAATGGGGGTAAACAGCTGCACCATGAGGAACGCATCACACTTATGTAGTAAAGATCGGAAATATAACAACTGTTAGAGCAGACTAGTTGGGTTAAGGTCACGGGGGATGATAAAACTCCCAACAAACCAATCTAGTGTGGAAACAGGATAGAATTTGACCAGTTTGAGAATTTTATTGCAGGTATTTATCACAGAGCTGCTCAGAAAAACCTCAGTAGAAATAAAAACTTTGTGCCAATCCAGTTGTTGGATCTTTCAAAGAACACAACTCCCAAATGACCTGCCCACACAGAGACATAAACTCATGATGTGTTGCTTTATGTTAATTCAAAGTCCAGTCTAAATGTCCAAGTTTATCAACAGAAAGTCACTTTCAAACAGACAACAAGGTGAAAATGAGAGGTAAATTCACACGTTCTATGATACCCAACTTTAGAGTATGAAATTTCACTTCAGCACTTGACAGACAACTGGCAAATATGTAAACAAAGGCATTTACAGTATGCCTGGCTACCATTATTAACATAGCTTTTTTATTGGTCTAGTTCGAGCGATTTACATGATACGGTACCAGTAACTGTGACCACCTAAACACAAACCTGTGTTTTACCAGTTGTCAAGGATCACCTGAACTCTTTTAATCAACTTACTCGCACACAATGCATTAGGTATACCAAGGATCAGTTTAGAAATACAAAAGCATCATTTTAAATGGCATAGGCCTTGGCAGACATTCTGGAAATGCAGACAGTCTCAAAATTTAATTCAGTGTCTCAAAGAGCCAAAAAATGATCAATTTTGACAAGAACTCCTGTCCTGCAACACTATGATATGTGGTCCTGTACCTCCACTCATCAAGCTTTAAATCAAACGGTAAGATGATTTTTATCTCTGAGAAATGTTTGCGTAAGTTAAAATCCAATCTCCCAAAATGTCCATTGCCCACATTTCTGGCACACTGTGCACAGTGTAAAAGCACTGTATTCAGTGGGCACAAACTCTCTGTCTGACACATATATCCTTTCAACAACATTGCCTCTGTCAGTTAATAGCTGAGAGTTAGAATAATTTAAAAATGTAAAAGTTAATACAGTCATTCCTACTTTCTTGCACGAGTTTTTCACCCCACAAGCGATCTTGTAAGATGCTGCGTGGGCTGGTCAGTGCTGACACTTCCCTAGGCATCGAGCAGATTGATGGGAACCAGGGGGACTTCACTTGGATGGACAGATATTCCAACATTTTCCCTCCACTCTGAGGAGATGAAACTCCATCCTGACGACACTGGGGAGCAAAAGGAACGTCAGGCGGAGTGACATGTCAGCAGGCTATCGACTCCCCAGAGAGAAAATTCTCTATTTAGCATTCTACGGAAAAGGTTGAAGACAAGTGGAAAGGGCCTGAAAAACACAGCGGGATGAGAGGGAGGCAGAATATGATTAAATGAGATAAAATCAGCTTTTAGGATTGTTTTGTGAAGATAAGTCTCTGTAAGGTGAAAAACTATTGAAGGGAAGTAAATTACTGAAATTACTTTTACACCTGAGCTGACATCAAATTTGCCTTAGAAGAAGAAACCTGGGTTATTACTCCATTTTTTAGAGTTCATGAAGAATCTAAAGGAGTTTAAAATAGTAACAGAGCTGCAATACATTATGGTATATATCCAGTATTTTAGTCAAGACGTTTATTCCTAAGGAGGAAATTTTACACTTGCAACTCTGGGTGGTGGTTGTCGCTACGGGCCGCTTTTTGGATCGATGGATTACATTACACTCTGTGTTTTTAGTCCACACTGGGCCTCTCTCTTTTTAAAACCTAGAATGGTATGTATGTTTTTCGGGAAGCAGACATCGGTTAGAGTACAAGCTCTGAGAAAATGGAGGAGGTCTGAATTGTGTCATTAGTCGGCCTACTGCTAAACAGCAGTGAAGACTTCACTTTACAAAAAAAACAAACCTGCCAGAGTTCAAATTCCTGACAGGCTGTAGGTGTAAAGAGAAGGATAGCTTTGGCTGTGGAATGAGAAAATGATGCACACAAAATGTAGACTAGTCAAACACAGTGCATCAATATCTAAAAGCTGCTGCCTTGATTAAAAATGTGCTTACAGCAAATTTACAGAAGGACCAGGCAGCTGCATACATGGTAAACAACAGTCCCAAATGATTTCTCTCATCTGGGTACGTGGTTCTGTTTGAAATCATTTTTTGAGAAATTATGGTTGCCAGAGGGTCATGAGAGACAAAAGCTCTACAGAAACCTTCACTGATGGATTCATAATATGATTTAACTGACTATAACATGAAATTAGCCCAGTTAATTCAGTGTTCTAAGGTTTTATAATGTGCATCTGAGGCTGCTTCATGGTTTTAAAAGCCTTAAAACACTTTTATTAACATCCATATTTCTAACTCTCCCATAATTAATGTTTCTTGTAGAATAAGTACGTTTGTTGTTAAAAGTATTCTGAATAGTCATGAAAATGGTATAGTCATGAAGTACAATAAATGGGGAAACATCAAGCTTAATATCTGCTTAATGAGAACCTTATGAAAAGTTTGCGCTATCTACCAATGACCTGCTTTAAGGGCACTGCAAAGATGAGCTATATTCCATTGCTGTTCTGTTTGTCATTAGTTCGCTAATGTAGCGTAAAGAAAGGGACAGTTTTTAAGTGCCTTTATGAGGATAATTATTATGAATGAGTAGGATTTACTGAAGACACACTGACAGTGTATAAACTTCATGGAAATGATTTCAACCTACAAACTTTTTTGTACATACATTTACTCATTTAGCTGACACTTTTATCCAAAGCAACTTACAATTGCTATACATGTCAGAGGCCGCACGCCTCTGCAGCAACTAGGGGTTAAGTGTCTTGCTCAGGGACACATTGGTGGATGGGTCACAGTGGGGAACTGAACTCGGGTCTCTCACACCAAAGGCATGTGTCTTATCCACTGATCCATCACCACCCCATTTTTCTCATTTCTGTTTTGTGATATAGAATATCTTTTATCGTGAACTGTAGCCAAATGCAACCAGAATACAGCTGATGAGACAAATATGGTAATAAATGTTAGATGGATAATCCTTTTCACTTTTAAAAATACACAGTAGGTTAATCGTGCCCAACTTATCTGGCATCGTCCCTTATCTCACAAAAGCACTTAGGTTTGATTGTTATTTTGTAGCTGCTGTAAAACAGTCGCCTTGGACTTACAGTGGGTAGGAAAAGTCTACACACCCCTGTTAAAATGCCGGGTTGTTCAATCATGTCAGAACTTTTTCCACCTTTAATGTAACCTATAATGTGAACAATTCAATAGAAAAACAAACTGAAATCTTTGAGGAGGTTGCATATGTGTGCACACCCTCTTATAACTGGGGATGTGGCTGTGTTCAGAATTAACCAATCACATTCAAACTCAGGTTAACTAGAAGTCATTACACACCTGCCATCATTTAACGTGACTCTGATTAATCACAAATAAAGTTCAGCTGTCCTAGTAGGATTTTCCTGATATTTTCTTAGTTGCATCTCTGACCAAAAAAAAAGGTCCGCAGAGAGCAAAGCATCAGAGAGATCTCATTGTTGAAAGACATAAGTCAGGAGACAGGTACAAAAGAATTTCCAAAGCATATACCACGGAACACAGTGAAGACAGTCATCAAGTGGAGAAAATATGGCACAACTGTGACTTTACCAAGAACTGGGCGTCCATCCAAAATTGATGAAAAGACGAAAAAAAAACTGGTCAGGGAGGCTTCAAGAGGCCTACAGCAACATTAAAGGAACTGCAGGAATTTCTGGCAAGTACTGGCTGTGTGGTACATGTGACAACTATCTCCCGTATTCTTCATATGAATGGGCTATGGGGTAGGGTGGTAAGACAGAAGTCTTTTCTTAAAGAAAAACATCCAAGCACGGCTGAAGTTTGCAAAAATGATCAAGTCCCCCAAAAGCATGTGGGAAAATGTGTTATGGTCTGATGAAACCAAGGTAGAACTTTTTGGCCATAATTCCAAAAAGTATATTTGGTGCAAAAACAACACTGCACATCACCCAAGGAACAGCATACCCACAGTGAAGCATGGTGGTGGCAGCATCATGCTTTGGGGCTGTTTTCTTCAGCTGGAACCGGGGCCTTAGTCAGGGTGGAGGGAATTATGAACCGTTCCAAATACCAGGCAGTTTTGGCACAAAACCTTCAGGCGTCGGTTAGGAAGATGAAGAGGAAGTTCACCTTTCAGCACGACAACGACCCAAAGCACACAACCAAATCCACATAAGCATGGCTTCACCAGAAGAAGATTAATGTTTTGGAATGGCCCAGCCAGAGCCCAGAGCCTGAATCCAACTGAACATCCGAAGAGGGCTGTGCACAGGCGATGTCCTCGCAATCTGACAGATTTGGAGCGCTTTTGCAAAGAAGAGTGGGCAAATATTGCCACGTCAAGATGTGCCATGCTAATAGACTCCTACCCAAAAAGACTGACTGCTGTAATGAAATCAAAAGGTGCTTCAACAAAGTATTAGTCTAAGGGTGTGCACACTTATGCAACCAGGTTATTTGAGGGTTTTTATTTTTCATTTTTCCCCCCTCAAAGATTTAAACTTGTTTTTCAATTGAATTGTTCACATTCTAGGTCACATTAAAGGTGGAAAAAGTTCTGACATGATTTATCTTTGTCTCATTATTTTACATCATAAGAACCTGGCATTTTAACAGGGGTGTGTAGACGTTTTCTATCCACTGTATAAGTATACTTGACTTATATTTCCCCCAGAGTTAATTTTGGCAGTTACTCTGGGAAAATTTTCCTCAAAAGGAATAGATTCATAGGCCCTTTCTCTTATTAAAACATGAAAGCTTGTCAAAGAATACGTTTACCATTACCGTTGCTTTCAGTGTACCTCTATTTTTTACCATGGATATACCATCTAAAAAAACTGCAAGATTTTAGCTGCTAAACAGAGTGGTGATCACCTGCTCTCACTAATTAGCTATTCACTAAACCCCTTTTCCAAACAATTATTCAATCATAGCTTATCAACTAGGCAAGGCAGGTGGCTAACTTTGGATTTATCACTATCCACCACATTTTAATAGCTAGGTAGCTACTGTTACAGCAGTCAATAACATTTGTCATTTTCAAAAATGAGGTTCATGAACTGAAAAAGAAAAGGCTGTCCTTCTCTTCCTCTGTTGGAAATCAACCCATTTTTTCAAACATTACAGTGATTTTCAAGTGGCAACCTGCCACCATTATCATAAACTGCATTAGCAAATGTGTCGTTCAAGTGCTGACTCAGTACATGACAAAATAAGATAAACAGCTTGTTCCACTCGTGAACTGATGTAAAGGAGTTAAATATCTGAAATGACTGACCTGAATTTTGCTGTTGTTGCACTGTGGATAAAAGATAAACTGCAGACAGAAAAACATAAGAGTGTGTATATGAGGAGGATAGATTAAGTGATTTACAGGCTATGAGACTATCTACACACACACACAGGGTGGTCCAGGAAATAAATGATGAAATATGAACATGTCAGCCAGGCAAGACCCATTACTGATTTTGAAAAAAGAAGGTAATATCAGCATTTAAGGAGGTTGTAGCTTCTAGATCTCTTTCTGTTCCGGAGTTTTAAAGTATGAATATTGTAGCTACCTTTTCAGTAATCTATAAGGGCATCTTTAATTAGAAATTGTTTGGCTATCAGTGTTGGACCAGGGTCTTTATTAAGTGATTTTATTTGAAAAGTGAGTAGAGCACACAGAGCATTAGGAATCCCCGGCAATGTGTTTTAAAGGATAAGGTGAAGTTAGAAAAATACATTTTGATATAGAAAGGTCACATTATTCAGGAAATTATATATTTTGATATGGTCTGTAACATTCTGTGTTTTTGCTATCTACATTTTTAAATGTAACTATTCATGTGAATCATTTATTTACAATTTCTCTTTTAAATTACATGATGCAGATATAGTACACTTTTGTTCATGTTATATAATGATGCTACGTTATTTATGCCATAGCGTAAGTTTAGTAAGTTAAAGCCCCTGAACACTTGGCAAGTATTTCTCCATAAAAATAAATTAATGGTGACAATCAAAGTAAAAAACACATCTTAAGGTGATACTTCAAGAGTTTAACACACAAAGACTTCATCTAGACTGTGTGGGTGTGGTTTGATTAGATTTGATTGACAGTGACCAAACAACCCACTTACTCATCAGATTCTGATGCACATGTTGCTAAAATCTGATACATAGTAGTATATCACCTTTTTCGCAACAAAGCACCACCCACTTCAAACCAACAAGACGCACAGAGAAATTAATTTGACACCATGACAATGATTATTTTAAAATATGATACAGTATTTGTATGTAAATCTATGACTGATTTTAGTATTTAATGTAGCCTATTTTAAATTTGAATTTATATTAATTGCATGAGTTGACCTGCCGAGGGACCGCACTTTGAAATTAGCAAGTGGCTAAATTTCTAATCCTTATGTGAGATTAATGTTGTTTTTATATGGTCCCTGTGGTATACTTTTATTATCACATACACATTCACGTAGCAAAATTCATTCTCTGCATTTAACCCATCCCTCAAGGGAGCCGTGGGCAACCACTGTGCAGCGCCCTTGGACCAACTCCAGATCTGAGCCAGTGTCACTGGTCATTGGCATTGACAGGAGAATCTAACATGTTTTTGATGGTGAGGGAAACCGGAACACCCGGAAGAAACCCACGCAGACACAGGGAGAACATGCAAACTCTACACAGAAAGGCCGGGACAACTGTGGTTTGAACCCGAAACCTTCTTGCTGTGAGGCAAACTAAACTATAACAAAAAGAAACTGAAATTTCTCAGGTGAAATGAACAAAACTGTTCTAACTATAGTGGAAAACCGTGTTTCATGTAGGATTCCGCCAGTCTTGCCAAGAAACTGAGAAAGGAAATAAGTTTTCACAGCCTTGAAGTTAGTTTACTTTTCATTTTTGAAAACCCTTTGTGCATCCTATTATTTGCTCGTGGAAAATTCCATTTTACATGCCATTCCTTGAAATTTAACCTAATCTGATTTGATTTGAACATTTGATGTGAGCAAACAGACCTTTGTTTTCCCCTGCAGGCCATTTCTGGTACTACCACCGCTGATGGAGTGGATCCGGGTGGCAGTCGCCCACACTGAGCATCGACGAAGCTTTTCTGTGGACAGCGATGATGTGAGGCAGGCCGCCAGGCTGCTGCTCCCCGGTGTGGACTGTGAACCTCGACAAATAAAGTAAGGATACAATGCTCATAACAAAGTTTTACTGCAACAAGCAAGCTGCGAATAAAACATAAAAGTTAAACCTCAGTGAGCGAAGCAGACCCACTGTTAAGTATGGCAAGTCATTTTGCCTAGTGAGCATATCACCCAGCAGGAGTCCTTCTTGTTCTGAAAGTGTTAATCATCCTAAACTGCCCACAGTAGAAATCTCTGACAATACAAAAGATCCTGCTATATGCACATTATGGACCAAAGTCTCAGTAACTTTTAAATGGATTGCCATAAAATTGGCTACACAAGTGAAACTCGAAAAATTAACATATTGTGCAAAAGTTCATTTATTTCAGTAATTCAACTTAAAAGGTGAAACTAATATATTACATAGACTCATTACATGCAAAGTGAGATATTTCAAAGCCTTTATTTGATATAATTTCGATGATTATGGCTTACAGCTTATGAAAACCCCAAATTCAAAATCTCAGAAAATTAGAATATTGTGAAAAGGTTCAGTATTGTAGGCTCAAAGTGTCATACTCTAATCAGCTAATTAATCCAAAACACCTTCAAAGGGTTCCTGAGCCTTTAATTGGTCTCTCAGTCTGGTTCAGTGGAATTCACAATCATGGGGAAGACTGCTGACCTGACAGTTGTGCAGAAAACCATCATTGACACCCTCCACAAGGAGGGAAAGCCTCAAAAGGTAATTGCAAAAGAAGTTGGATGTTCTCAAAGTGCTGTATCAAGGCACATTAATAGAAAGTTAAGTGGAAGGGAAAAGTGTGGAAGAAAAAGGTGCACAAGCAGCAGGGATGACCGTAACCTGGACAGGATTATCAGGAGAAGGCCATTCAAATGTGTGTGTGGGAGCTTCGCAAGGAGTGGACTGAGGCTGGAGTTACTGCATCAAGAGCCACCACACACAGACGGGTCCTGGACATGGGCTTCAAATGTCGTATTCCTCTTGTCAAACAACAAACAACGTCAGAAGCGTCTTACCTGGGCTAAAGAAAAAAAGAACTGGTCTGTTTCTCAGTGGTCCAAAGTCCTCTTTTTTGATGAGAGCAAATTTTGCATCTCGTTTGGAAACCAAGGTCCCAGAGTCTGGAGGAAGAATGGAGAGGCACACAATCCAAGATGCTTGAAGTCCAGTGTGAAGTTTCCACAGTCTGTGTTGGTTTGAGGAGCCATGTCATCTGCTGGTGTTGGTCCACTGTGCTTTATTAAGTCCAGAGTCGGCGCAGCCGTCTACCAGGACATTTTATGCTTCCTTCAGCTGATGAGCTTTATGGAGATGCTGACTTCCTTTTCCAGCAGGACACCCACAAAACACACCTGCCCACACCAAAACCTGGTTCAATGACCATGGAATTACTGTGCTTGATTGGCCAGCAAACTGGCCTGACCTGAACCCCGTAGAGAATCTATGGGGCATTGCCAAGAGAAAGATGAAAGACATGAGACCGAACAAGAAGAGCTGAAGGCCGCTATTGAAGCATCCTGGTCTTCCATAACGCCTCAGCAGTGCCACAGGCTGATGGCATCCATGCCACGCCGCATTGAGGCAGTAATTCATGCAAAAGGGGCCCAAACCAAGTACTGAGTACATATGCATGATTATACTTTTCAGAGGGCTGACATTTCTGTATTTGAAATCCTTTTTTTTTATTGATTTCATGTAATATTCTAATTTTCTGAGATTTTGATTTTGGGGTTTTCATAAGCTGTACGCAATAATCATCGAAATTATATCAAAGGCTTGAAATATCTCACTTTGCATGTAATAAGTCTATATATTAGTTTCACCTTTTAAGTTGAATTACTGAAATAAATTAACTTTTGCACGATATGCTAATTTTTAGAGTTTCACCTGTATTTATGCCCCCCTCAGGATGAATTTTAATAACGTTAACGTGATCCCTTAACCTTTCGTCTAGTGCCATCATAAGGTCCAATACTTTGACTATTGAACAAATACCTGAATTCCCATCAGCCTGAGCTGTACTTTGTGTTTATTGTTAATTAGCTCATGTAAACACGCTAAAACAGAGCTGATAGATGATGGCTGTAGACTCAACTAACATGAAGTGTGTTGTTGTCCCTCTTTTAATGGATAGCAGTAACCAATGTCATAGTTTTGTGACTTGGGGATAAATCTTCTTGCTGTTTATTTGTCCCTCAATTACAGTCTCCCCTGTTTACCCCCGCTCCCCCTTTCTGATACACACAACAGCAGTTATGTGGCCTTGCACAACATTTGTCACATGGCAGCTCAGTCAATGATTTTGTGTTGGTGTCAGTGGGTTAAGAGTCTTATCACATTTCAAATATGCGCAGAGAAACACTGAAAGGTGTGAATGGCCAATTAACTTCTCCTTACCTACAGTATCTCAGATATAATTGTCATGTAGCATTGAGCAAACATCATGAAAAGTCGCTCTGTGACCCAGTGGAAGCATCAGCTGTGATAGCTGCTCGCAGCTTGGATTAAGAGACTTTACAGGAGACATGAATGAGTAATAATGAGTCACAGCAAAATCCTTACCTGGAGAAAAGCTACTTTAGGAAATGAAGGAAGTAGATAACCAGAAGCAAACAAAGAAAAAATATACTGAGAAATGCAAACATTAGAGAATTGACTTTGAATGCAAACAGCTCAATACTTGAAATAAACTCATAAAGTTGCATTTAATTATATAATACCAAGAGTTTAAGTTGTGAAAAGCAGAATCATTTTCTATTTCCATCAGAGGTGTTTATCCACCGATCTCAAAATCCATTTCTGATATAAGCTCCCACTTAATCACAGTAATGGATCTGATGATTCCATCTGCAGAGCGGAGGATTGTTTCTGTGCAACCAGAAAGCTGGATGCAGCCTCCACAGAGGCCAAGTTCCTGCAGGATCTGGGCTTCAGGATGCTCAACTGCGGACGGACGGACCTGGTCAAGCAGGCCGTGAACCTGCTAGGACCCGATGGCATTAACAGCATGAGCGAACAGGTCCGGCACTTAACACACACTCCTACATGTATATACTACATTAACATCACACACCCACATAGGAATAGTGGAGAGAGAAACACAATGAATTGTGAATCTCTAACAAGTATTACCTGGCAATCCATCCCAGTTCACACACACAGGCTGGGCACAGGCTGCTCCCTATGAGTCATGCTATGTGCTAAATTCTTATACATGGTACAAAATTCACATTATATACAAGAAAATGTTAATTTCTTTGTGTCTGTGTATAAGGATGTTTATACAAGTATGCACGGATATGAGCAGCATCAGAATATTTGCTGTAATATGTTGTACTGCGTACGGTTGTGCATGCGACAATATACTTGATTTGAAATCCAAACACAGATATGAATATAGATATTTTTGTGAAATAAACAGAGACTGATAGTATTATACCACTACTGTCTATCCAAAAAATGATGAAGAAATTATCTATTTGTATCTGATACTGTAACACTTTTTCTGGCCAGAGCTTTAGGTCGATATCTCAGCCTTACTGCATCCAAGCGTTAATGTCATTTGGGATTTTCTACCTTCCCCAGTCAATGGAAAAACTGGCTATTCCTTGTGCTGCTAAGTGGAAGCTAATAGTGCAATCTGATTTTCTGTGGTCAGAAAGCTGTGTCTGGTTAAGTTCAATTAAGAAACTCTTGGCAGGTTTCTACTCAGATGCTCTAGATTTGTTTGCGGTTTGATTCATACTATATTCAGTTAGATGCAGATTTTAGTATTTACAGGCTATCAGTACAACAAATTGTACTGACTGACACTTTTCCTCCTCACTCCTATAAATGACAAGCCGTGGTGACATACAGGCTTTTATTCACTTGTAAACCCAGCTAAATGCTGCAAAGGACCAGACAGCGTTACAGGAGCAATAAAGTAAAAGCTGCTGTCTGTCATCACGGCCGAGAGGCATTTGAACTCATCATGATGATCATCATGGTCCACCGTCTATCGCTCTTTAGCTGTCTGCAGATTAAGTAGATCGGTGTTCAGGAAATATTTAAGAGAGAATCACCACAAAGGGATGTCAGTCTTCAACATAAAGTGCTTTGGTGTGTTATGAGTGAGTCGTAAAAGGCCTTTGTTGAACATAATGGCCCGGATCAGAGATATGATTGAGGTTTTATGGAAGCTCGTCCAAAACTCTGATGAAAATGTCCTTTGTTTTTTAGTGTAGATTTTTAGGCTCATAAATGGGAAGAACTTGCCACTTGGTTTACAGTAAAGTTCTTTTGTCTCTTTGCAGTAACACTAAGATGCAGCCCCCCTACCACAACCACCAGTCGCTCAGAGCTAAATGTGTGTGGGTGTGTCAGGCTCAAGAGTGCTCTGTGCATATGGTGGCATGTGGAGAAATAAGATGTTATGTTAGGAGTTTCACAGCCCACCTATGCTGTCACTCTCGTCGGAAAGACAGTTATTTTGAGGCGGCTATCATTATGTCTGGAAAATCAGAACTTGCATGCAACTGCTAGAAATGTCTCTGATTGATGAGGAGGAAATTGCATCTGAGTTGTATATGTTATGTATGAATATGGAATGTATTGTAGTGCAATCTTTAGTCATGGGGCTGATTAGTAACCCCCAGTGAACTCACAACATGCACATATGGCACTTCAGATGTACCTTATTTGAAAATAGTGATTTAAAGAACATAATGGGGGAAAAAAAGACTAGATTATTAATTTTTCTGGTATCCTATAAAACTAATGAGCGCAGCTGATGGTGAGCTCCTTACAGAACTGCTAATGGTCTCTTAAGGGCTTTGCCTATAGCACTAGTAGTATTTATAAGGATAAGGAAACAGGAGCCCTTGGAGAACATGCAAACCCTAGACAGAAATGTCCCAGTTGTTAGATTTGAACCCAGGACCTACTTGCTCTCAGGCTATAGTGCTAACCACTAAATGTTTCTGTGATTCTGTGATTGGTCATAAATATCATAACATCTCGCTCATGAGACTAGGGCATATTTCATCCCTTGCTTTTTTTGGCACAGTGGGGGAAGAAGCACTCAGATCCTTAACTTAGCTTAACTAAAAAGATCAATGACACCACTTAAAAATACAGCATTACAAGCAATAGTCCCGCATTTGGATTATTTTATTTTATGTATTAACATGTAAGTAGCATTTTTATTAGCAGTGGTCAAGCTATTGCTAATGCTAGCTACTTTATTTGATGTTTTACTTAGTATTTATTTACCAAACTAAACATCTAGTACCTTTATAACAATTCTTCCTATTTTATAGGATGATCATCGGTAAGCTTACTTGTAAAAAGTGCAGTATTTGTCTCTTAAATCTAGTGGAGTAGTGTACAGTAAATTAAAATGGTAATACACAAGTACAAAAATGGGCAGAACTGAGACGTGGCACAACTGTACTGTTAAAATTGCCGAACAGCTACTGAATAAAGGTTGTTTTTTTTGGGTGCCACTTGTGACTGACTGAAAACGATCTCATAAAGGAAATATAGTCCATCACCTTTCCTTTCTACTAAATTACTTTGTAGATATGAATAATCCTGTCTGATCCCTTTAATGGTCCTCCTTTCGTCCCTCCCACAGGGAATGACCCCACTCATGTACGCCTGCGTCCGCGGTGATGAGGCCATGGTCCAGATGCTGCTCGACGCCGGAGCCGACATCAACAGCGAGGTCAGTGTTCACGGGACACCATCAGCCTGTCAAAATGTCACATTGATTCCACATTTTTGTTTTTGTCCAAAATGTTGATTTACATTTTGTTATGTGTCTCAGTGAAAACGATGAACCCACTTTGTGTTGCTCTTCCACCCCCCCCTCCCTCCTCTGTCTTCACTGTCAAACCTGCTGCTGTCGGCATGCTCTCTGTTCTCCTGGCAGCTTATTACATGAAGTGCACTGATAAGCAATAAAGGAGGATTTGCACATTTGCACTGTAATAATGATAGTTTGTCTCTACACGGATACAGAATAATAATAATCCACTGAAAGTAGGCAGTTACTTCATCACATTTCACACTGCACACATTCAGCAGCAGTTTGTGTTCTACCACATCAATAATGCATTAGTGTTGTACAGGTGTGTGCACTTAGTGTAACTCGCTACCACAGACTGCATGAAGTATGAACTTCATTGCACTTATTTACTGTGTTGAACTAAGAGCGTTAAAAGTAACCATGAAGCCCTATTGTTATAAATCCTGTTTTTGTCTCCGCAGTGTGTCCTCTGTCCTCCGTTTAGGTGCTTTAATCTCAATTGGCAATAAGAATATTCAAGAATAGAAATGCATCGTAGACTGTCCTTCACCATGTTGACCCATCATTGTTGATTGTTGTGATTGCTTCATTGGTTTAGTGCCTGTATTTAGTGTAGGTGTGTTGACTCAAAAGCAAAGCACTACCTGTATAAATGATCTAGGAGTTCCGTTTGATTGATAAATGTTATTATTTCATGTATTTCTAATGGACTCTAGCCATGCAGATTATGCACAGAGGTTTTAAACAGGTCCCAATAGGAATCTGAAGAGTCAGACAAGATGATTAAATATATATATATATATTTTCATATTTTCCTTTTGATTTTTCTTGTGACATGAACGTTACTTTTACCTCTTCAGACTTCAAAATAAACAGCCTGAGAAGCAAAAATACTTATTTTGGTGAACTCAAAACTCATTTGAAAACTCATTTGAGTTCACTGGATTAATGTGCAAAGCAAGGGGTTAACAGCAGTCCCCTCGCACATATATATGGTGTAGGTTCTAATTTATAGTTCAACATCACATTTCACTTATAGCACTACTGCAGCACTGTTGCGTAGTACATTATCTTTAATTATATTCCCCACGCTAATTGTGTTTACATTCTTGAATTTACCTTTACTGAAAAGAAGAAGATTACGGAGTCTTTTACTAAACATGCTTCATGTTGTGTTCCGTCTGAACAATCTCCAGCTGCATCAGAAACTTGTAGGAGAAAACACAAGCTGACCAATCACAGGCCTTTTGGTCTTAATGTTGTATCCCCATAGCCAGTGATGTGTAGTTACACTTTTGATGGTTCACATCAGCTACCGCTCCGTAGCTACACTGTAACCCCTTAACACTCCTGGCTGGATTCAGCCATAACCTGTGAAGAGTGGTCACGAGACATCTCTGCAGGTTGGAAATCTGCTGACCTAGATAATCCCCAGACTTTACTGTCAACAGGCTTTCTTCTTCTGGCAAATACTGTCCACAGCAAGGTCTGTGGGTTGTGACACATCACCAAAAATTAATTTCCACTCACCTCAACTGTATTGCGGTGGCGACAGAACAATCTTTTTGATTGTAACTTGGGTGAAAAGAGCCTTTAAGTAAAGTAAAAGCAGATGCTGTTGCACATCAGTGATTGAGCATATCACTACTTAAAAAGTTTTGTCAAAATATGACTCTAGAGCCATGATAGGTATTGCAGTCAGTGATGCCCTCTGTTTCTGCTGAAACTGCCTTATATTACAAAGTGATTAATAATTCATCACTGTGAACACAAAAACACTAACAGTCCCACTGTTGTTTAGCGTCAGAGCTCAAATGAAATGTGACATTACATTAAATGTCTGTTTGGAAGAGGCCTCCTCTAGGCGACATTTAGAAATAATTTCTATAATTTACTCTGTGAAAAGGCCACTTTTGAAACCACAGAACAACACTGGGCTGTATGGCTGTTTAATTTTACTCTGCTTTGTTCATGAGTCAGTGCCACCGTCTTGACTGTGTTTGTAGTCTTTGCCAATGTTGTGTTTTCTCTCTGGTTTCATTCCCCTTTGAAATGAAACACTATTTAAAGATGGAGCCAGGCGTATAGTACAAAGTGTGGTCAGAGAGCCATGCCAAGGCAGATACATACTCTTAACTTGTCTCATGTTTAGAGTGAGGCCTGAGATGACAGGTAGAAGTCAAGCTGCTCAAGATTTTTCTGTGAAACTCAAGAGGAAAATCTCCCTCTGCCATCCTGCCCTCCTTTGCTTACACTTCTCCTCCTGCATACTGCTTCTCGCTCCCCCCTTCCCCCTATCTCCCGCCCTGAGCTGTGAATGTTAATGGCTGTATATCTCTCTCCCTGAACTTCACCTATGACTTCCCAGGTGCCAAGCACAGTAAACAAGCACCCCTCAGTTTATCCTGAAACGCGCCAGGGGACGCCACTCACTTTCGCCGTGTTACACGGACACGTCCCTGTCGTGCAGGTAGTGACGTTTATGACCTGTAACCATTAACCTGTGGCCCTTGCCCTAACCTTTGCACCCAATGATGATGATTATTATTATGGTGCATCATAATAATGCCATATGTCGTTTTTATTTCTCCTTCTTGATCCTATCTGTGCAGTAATGATCTCAGTTATGTGGAGAGGACTTGGTCCATATAAACCCTCCAGATTATTTTTGTTTTTAATAATGTATGCTCTTAAAGGTGTGTAGATGACCCAGCACCCTGCTTTTCACCACAACTGAATCTAAGGATTGGACCTACAGCAGCAGGGAGAAACTTCCAGAGGCAAACTAAACAGAGCAGAGCTCAGCCAGCCTGGTACACAGCCTCGGGGATGCCAGATTTCAGTGTTTTGTTCAGTTCTGTTAATTTTTTATATATAATGCATTCTATTGCAGTAGTTATTGTATGAGCTGACACTGGCTGAAAGCCTGATGAACAGCGTCGCCCTCAGGATTTTTTTCAATTATTAATCTGCACCACCGCAATCAGAGTTTTTTTCGGGGGGGGGGGAATAGAAAAAGAAACCATCTTGATTCTTCCTTTCTCAGCTCAGGCAAGTCATCATCAACAATAAGCCCTGCAGACAGAACCTAATGAGGAAGTGTAGCAAGGAGTGTGTTCAGTGGCCAGGGCTAGGCCAACCTCTAAATGAGGTGGTTAAGGTTTCCAACAGTTGAGGCTTTTCCTCTTGCCAAGCCTGAGTGTAACACACTATTCTCCCGCCTGGTTTGTTTTCCCCTTCCCCCCTCCCTCCCTCTCTATCCACCTCCCTCCATCCCCGCCACAGTTGTTGCTGGATAATAGAGCGAATGTGGAGGGCGCCCTGCAGGATGGGACGGAGAACTACACAGAGACCCCACTTCAGCTGGCCTCCGCTGCAGGTAATCCCACACAAGCATGAAGGATTTGGATACCTCTTCATATTCAGATTCCAGACGTGCATTTTTGACCCAAGTATTCTTATTCTCGATACAGCGTATATGGGATTAGTCATTACATGCTTGAGTCTAAGCTCACCAGAAGGCATTCTCACTCTGCTATAATCATCTAATTAATTTATCACTTTCAATTACTATCTGAGATTCAAGAATGCAGTGAATTTTAAACGCTGCTTCTCACGATTGTGCTGCTGTATAGATGTGCAGCCACGTATGAGCAACCCTGCAGCAGGTTCTATTATTCAATTAAAATGGCCTTTAAAACTGACTGGAATTATCTGTCAAAGCAGAACCAAATTTGCATTTAAAGCAGTGCTTCTCAGTCTCAAGGGTGGACCACTGCAGGGGGATATGGATGACCAGGGGAAAAACAAGAGTTTGCTGATGTTATCTGAGCTGACTTGAATCATTCATCTTAAGTGAATGAATTCAACTTGGCTTCTTTTTTATTTGTTGTGCCCCCAGTAGTGTTAATAATTGATAAGAATTCAATCTGTTTAAATATGTGAGCTTTAATGATTATTTGACATTTTGGGAAGAGTGTTCGCGTCCTTGTCGAGAGTTGAATGAGAAGACTGAGACAACTCTTTATTTGTCTGTTAAATTTGAAACTACAACTAGCAGCTGGTTTGCTTAGTTTAGCGTAAAGACTGGATATATTTAGCCTGGCTTTGTTCAAAGCTAACAAAATCTGCCTACCAGCACGTGTAAAGCTCACTAATTAACAAATCTTGAACTGTTGTTTTTAATATACACACACTAAAGAAGTCTTGTCATCATCAGAGGTTGCAAGGAAGTCACTGCACCAAGACAAGAACTCCCACAAATGGTTGTTTTTACACTTTTAAAACAAACAAGATACAATGTGTCAATTTATTTGCATTTTCTCATTTAGCTGAAGCTTTTATCTAAAGCAAATTACAGTGGCACTTTATGCCAGAGGTCTCACACCTTTAAAGCAACTAGAGGTTAAGCGTCTTGCTCAGGGACACATTGTTGAATGTGTCACAGTGGGAATCGAAACCCAGGCCTCCCAGACAAAGGCTTATCACTGCGCCATCACCATCCCACATAATTAGTGAGCTTAAGAGGTGCTGGTTGGCAGATTTTGTTACCTTTGAACAAAGCCAGGCTAGCTGTTTCCCTCTGTTTCCAGTCTTTATGCTAAGCTAAGTTAACTGGCTGCTAGCTCACATAGAACTGACAGACATGAAAGTGGTATTGATCTTCTCAACTAAGTCTCAGCAAGAAAACTAATATGCATATTTCTCAAAATGTCAAACTGTTGCCTTAAACATGAATTGGAGTTAATTCAAACATAACAAGTTGACATACAATAGTGAATTTTCATGTTTCAGTGAGTGACCTTAGGAATGTGTAGGCAGCCGCGTTGCCATGGTAACGAGTGATTAAAACACACAGCCATGGATAATGAACACTATTAACATCCTACTCATTAAATAATAAATAATGTAGATGAAATAAAGACTACAATCCCAGAGCTAATTTTGGTAATTAACAGCAGAGTTGCAGACTTTCCAAGTACAGAATACTTTTATGCAGGTTCAGGCTCATTCCCTGTTTTACTTTACTGTCACATTAACTTCACTAGGATGTAAAAGCTTGAATAAGCAATGCGAGTATCCAGAAATTCTGGTTACATTCCAATCGGTTTTAAATGAGCAGTGTTTTTGACTGTATTAGCGGAGATCAGTATTGAAGTGCTTAAATCACTTTAAAACTGGTACCTGCAGAAGTTTCTGTTCTAATGTTTGAGTGCATCAGGGATTAGTTATGACTTGTTTTGCACTCAGCAGAGCAGATCTAACTGCTGTAGTCACTCGGTTTAATTTAAAGCTTCCACATGGAATTCAGTGAATGTGAAAATGTATTTTGATGGGTTATGTTTTGTTGTTGTACACCTGAACAGCCACATAAAGAACCACTTAAAGAGCATCTCATCACCTCAGAAAGTAGAAATTTTTAGTACCAACATCAGTGGTGGAAGAACAATACCACACTGTAGAAATATTCTGTTACAAGAAATGTAAAAGTCCTGAATTCAAAATTGTACTTAAGTAAATGTACATTACTGGACTGGAACATAATTTTTTTATGATGCTCAAGGTATTTAAATTCCCCTTCATCTTGATTCTTGTACCCTATGCATATTTAATTAAAGGAAGAAATGTTTTTAAATTTACATCAAATGGCAAAAAATCATTTAAAATACTTCATTGCAAGTAAAAGTTCTTTAATCAAAATGTTACTGAGTAAAAGTACAGTAGTCAACAAATCATCAAAAAGTATCAAAAGTACTCTATGCAGAATCATACTGAGCTAACTAATGGCAGCCACAGTTAGCAGTAGTTACCAGTTACTTTTGGCAACAAGTAAAGCCATCTGTTCATCAAGAAACTAACTTTCCTTCACGACCGAAAAAGCACTTTCTGCAAGAATTAATGAACAACTCTACAAAAACTTGACCAGAGTGGTCAAATAACAAAGACAGACTGAGTAGGTGGTTGGGCGCATCCCTGTACTTCGTGGGCTAGCTGCGCCTGAAGCAGATCATGAGCATATCAGGACAAAAAGTAGAGGTAGAAAAATACATTGGATACCTAGCATTCAGATGAGTCTGAAGCCTGAGCTTTCTGCTCACAGGGATTACTTTTACATTAGTTTAACTTTTTTAAACTTTGGCCACATTTCATGTGATCATCCGACAATGTAATATTATATGTCATTAAAATAAGGGAAACCATAAAAGGTGCCCTTTAAGTTAAATTCCACCACAAATCAACATAAGTGGTTGCTAAGTATTTACCACCTAGCTCTGTTTAAGTTTATTCATGTTTCATGTGTCATCCTGGTTAGGTAACTTTGAGTTGGTGAGTTTGCTATTGGAAAGAGGGGCCGACCCGATGATCGGGACCATGTGTCGAAACGGCATCTCCTCGGCCCCGCTGGGAGACATGAACTCATACACCTTGGCAGCAGCACATGGCCACAGGTAATACAGGCAATCACACACACACACACAAACACACACACAGGGACACATACACAAGTGCCGGCCAGCAGAGATCCATTACCACAGTATTGATCCATTTACACACTTTGCCCTGGTCCGTCTGCCTCTCACAAAATCCTGCATTATATGAGAAGCAGATATCTTGGTTTCGCTGTCAGACAGCATGTGACGATAAGCACTGCAGTCTATTCAGCACCACTTATGGCTTCAGTTTGACACCATTTCCCTGCAGCTGAGTAAGATAAAGCCATTTAACATTCAGGGCAGTGAGAGCTGTCAGGAAGTAGAGTGGAGTGGCAAGCCAACAACACAATGCAGCATTATTAAGATAATCAATTGTAGTATGATGATCTTGCTGCAGTGTGTCGTGAGCAGGCTCAAACTGCATTAGGATTGGTTATGAGATGGCAGGGTGTAAAAGTTCTCTATTCCTTCAACAGGCGCTGGATAACAATTATCTGTACAAAAGGACTTTCTCTTTTATTCTACACGGACAAATAACTTTTTAACCACAGGAAATTCTTCATATCAAAGGAAGATAGCTTGTTGTTGAAACATATAGTTGAAGCATTATCATGAATAAAAGGGAAAGTGGCAGCGGTGTGTATATATAAATATTATTACACATTACACATTTTTTATTTACTTTTAAACCTTTACAGAAATGTGTAAAAATGTGATGTGGATGTTATTAAAATTTTTTGCAAAATACACTTGTTTTGTAGTCTTAGCAAGATGAGAATTGATATCTGTTTTATTGTGTTGTTAGTAGGGAGATTAACTCAAGACAGGATTAGCCGAGGTTAGCATAAATCATGAAGCGGGAGTGTGTCAACAAAAAATGCTCCAGACTTCTTTTTTGTACAAAGTGTATGCTGTTAGCTTGTAAGCTAGCCACCAATATTTACAAAAATGTTTAAGAGTTAGAGAAGTGTACAAAACAAGCAGCTTTACATTGAGGAAAGGACTTCTGAAATACTAATCGCCTCCAACTTTGTGGCAAGAGTTTGGGGAAGACCCTATCCTTTTTCAACATGACAATGCCCCTGTGCACTAAGCCATGTCCATTAACGTTTTTTATTAGAATTTGGTGTAGAGGAACATGACACAACCCCATCCAGCACCTTTGGGATGAACTAAAACACAGACTGCAAGCCAGACCTTATCACCCAAAGTCACTGATGCTCTTGTGGCTGAATTGGAGCAAATCTCTGCAGCTAGGCATGAAAATCTGTTGGGAAGACTACAACCAGAAAAGGGCTGTGATAGCGGCAGATTAACGTCCTTGAAGTAGATGTTCAACAATAATATAAAGGTTTAATCTTTGTGTGTCTGCATATTTTGGGCCATGTAGTGTAGATCCATGGACACAGCTGGAGAAAATTCTGTGGTAATATGCTCAATCATTGATATACACTCAAACCCAAGGGACTGATAGTGGTGACCAAACGACAGTGAGCCTCCCACTGACTTGATCCAACAATCTCAAAAAAGGATATGATGTTATATTGGTCTAAACGAGCCCCACCTTATTGAAGCAGCTGGCGCAGTGATGCGTCCTCAGGCTGTGATCACACGGTTTACATGACGTGTTGAAGTCCATTCTTCTGAAATGAGGGGAACTGTTGTTGCTGCATCATTCTTATGCCGAAAAAGTGTGTTGCAATGTTGCGGGCAGTACTGATGAATCTGCAGACTAAAAAGCATGTTATTTTGTAACAACACATACTATCTTTTCTGTTTAGAGGAGATAATCAGTTCCAGCTGAACATATTTTGGCTCCACAGACCAGTGGTAGAGGTTCACAGTACGCTTATTTTGAGTGTCATTAGAGCTAGAGAGCTGGGTGAGCTTAATGTGAAGTTAACACAGTACGTGTATGCCTAATTTAGAATCATTGCCCAGTCTGTGATCATCAACCTCACAAGTTTCCTTCCTGCTATTTGACCCCAGGCCAGGCTAGGTGTTTTGTAGTTTTCTCATCCCCTCCCCACATCTTCATTCCTTTTTTTCCCTTTTACCCTGGCCTTAAAATATTCTGTCATTGTATCTTATCACTCTGCTTTCCTTTAATCTCTGTTTGTGTTTTATCTCCTTTCCTCTAGGAATGTATTTCGAAAGCTTCTGGCCCAGTCGGAGAAGGAGAAGGGGGATGTGTTGTCCCTGGAGGAGATCCTAGCCGAGGGTTCGGATCCCGGGGAGAAGAGGTTGGCACTGCAGGCCAACGGCGGAGGGACCCTGCGAACAGGAAAGGCCAAACTGAGGGCCCTGAGAGAGGCCATGTACCATAGCGCAGAGCACGGCCATGTGGACATCACCATAGACATCCGCAGCTTAGGTCAGATTTACTAATACATGCTTCACTGGCACACATGCCTCGCTCTCTGGTGCCTCCAGCTGTCCTGGAGATGTGCTGATGCTGTGCCTGTCCTGTCCCGTCTTGTGCTGTCCTGTACACACTCACAGCAATCACCACTTCTCATCCAACCATGAAACAGTCGCACAAGTAGGACTTTTTATAGCAGAGGTGATAATAGCTTGGGTCAAAGGTGTGAACATGATGATGAAACAGTGTCCTCAAGCAGTGCTCATTCTGTAGATGTGGCAATCAGCTTTCACCCCAACATTGTCCAGTTCATTGGACATAAGACCTAATGTGTTTGTTGATTAGGATTTGATTAGGATTAATTGACTAATTTATTTCAGTTGACAGAACAATCTCACCCCTCTCACATCTCTTAAGTGCCATTTAGTAGCTACCCTGGACCTTTTGGTCATATCACACAGTCCTCAGTTATCTTGTAATTACTTGCTAATGTAAAATTTTTGTTTGCCATTTTGAGAAATACTCTTATTCGCTTTTTTGACAAGAGTTAGATGCCAGCAGCTGGTTAGCTTACTAAGCATAAAAACTGGAAACAGGGGAATCAGCTAGCCAGGGTCTGTCCAAAGGTAACAAAATCTGTCTACCAGCACCTTTTAAAGCTCACAGATTTACATGTTATATCCTGTTTGTTTAATCTTTACAAACAACAAAGTGTTAAAACAACAGACTTTGTGCATCGGTCTTCTCATCTAACTCTCAACAAGAAAGCGAATAAGCTCATTTCCCAAAATGTTGAACTTCTTGTCCCTGTCTTTGAAGCAGTAGTTGACCCCTAACCAGTTTCACTAAGAGTAAGATTATGTGAAACAGTCAAAAGCTCTGGAACAGCTACTAAATAGACCGTATGGTAAGACTGTTTATTTCTACTGTTTCTAAGGTCAATAATGATCTTTCAGTCCCATCCACTTGCTCAAGTTCCCAAAGCCCAAGATGACATATTTAAATTGTTTGTTTTGTCTAGACAAATCAGAAAATCAGCTAACCTTTGGCATTCTGCTTGATAAACGACTTCAACGATTAATCACCTATCGAAATTGGTTAATTTCCTACTCCATAAATCAACTAATCCTTTCAGCAGTGCTGTTGATACACAAAGCATCCACTGTCATGTCATGAGATTCATATTAATTTCACATACACATCATTCAGTGCCCATCATATTGTTGCAGATCATTACAGCCATTTTTTTACGGGACATTCTTTGATTATACCCAAGTGCTTTCTTTATATTCCAGCCGAGTCCGAGTCTCTGACTTTTCACTAATCCAACACTCACCATGCAATCGCCCTTCAACTCATGCTAACACCATAAAGTGATGGAAACATGGTCGGTTCTGTCGCCCTTGAAACTGCTCTGAGTCAGATTGGCTATGCTGTGCGTAAGTGTGTATTCACTGTTCATGTGGCGTTATTCCCAGGCGTTCCCTGGACGCTGCACACCTGGTTCGAGTCCCTGCGCACCTGCTTCATCCAGCACCGCCGGCCGCTGATCCAGGGCCTGCTCAAAGACTTCAGTTGCATCCAGGAAGAGGAGTACACAGAGGAGCTCATCACACACGGCCTGCCTCTCATGTTCCAGATCCTCCGAGCCAGCAAGGTCACCGGGGCTTTCTTTCATGTGCATGTAAACGTAATGCTTGTTAAAGAAACATCAGACAAAATAAGGCTGGTTGGCTGGTAATACAAACTGTCCTGTGCTTGTATGCAAGTGTGACATTAACACTCATATTTGCATAAATTAAGTTGCACTCCAAACCATATTATCATACATTTGCATATCATTTTGTCCTGGGTAGCTCATGGAGACCAAAAACTCTAATCTGTGTAAAGTTTCTTTCCTCATTGGTGTTGGTGTCTGTTTGCAGAATGAGGTAATAAGCCAGCAGCTGTCAGTCATTTTCACGCAGTGCTATGGGCCCTTCCCCATCCCTAAGCTGACAGAGATCAAGAAGAAACAGACCTCCCGCTTAGGTAAGAGAGCGAGTTAAAAATAGTGACTGTTCCTCAATATTTTCAGCATTAAATGAATCTGCATGACGAGGCAAGTGACAGAAGGGTTAGAGTTAAAGCTGAGAGATTCTTGTTTTTTGAGGTGAATTTGTCTCCAACTTTGAGTTAACCAATCTGTGTTTAATACTATAAAATTAGCTCCTTTTTCCTTAGATTTTCAGTTCATGAAGTCTCTGTAAATGCCACTATTTCTTGTCAGACTTTTCAGAAAATATTAAAGCATTTATGGGCTGATGGTAATTTAAATTGCTTTGAAATTGAATTTTGTGTCTCAGAATGTCAAAAAGACAAATACCCTCCATCCATCCATCGTCAACCCCTTATCCTACGTACAGGGTTGCGGGGAAAGGCAAATACATACTGATCAAAATGTCACAGCTTATTGCTTTGAACTCATCATGTAACAACAAATCAAATAGTATTATGGTACTCTGTTTGCAAAATCATACAACAATTTTCTTTTTGAGAAGTCATTTGATAAGTGTTAAATGTATTTTAATGACAAAACATTGCTTGTAGGATAAACTATCAACAGGATCATTAAATCAAAATACTCAGGAAGTATATGAAAATTATTGGGGAAGGAAGGGAGTCAGTAATTATCTGCACGTCTCTACAAGTCTTAAAAAGCATTCAGTTAAATTTCTTCAACAAAAAAAAGTCTCAAATTTAATTTACAAAAGTCTTTTTTTGCCTGCTGTAGGCAGTGATGTTAGTTATGAAATGTTTTCGTATGTGATTGCAGGCTGTTGGGAGACTGAAAGTGTCACTGCTACCTACAGAAAGCCCGTCATCTCATAACAAAGATTTAAATGAAAGTCAATTTTAATTGGTAAATTATCACCAGAATCAGTAAAAATGAATGTTACATATGGTAAAAGCACTGAAAAAAATGTGATGTACAATAAAACATACTGGTTTTCATCATACTTTCAGTCGGTATGATTGTGAAACAGATATTAAACTGGCATTCTATGTGGTAATTAAAAGGACTTATAAAGTCTTATCTGGGGCTGCAGCTAACGATGATTTTAGTATTCGAAGCTTCGATAGATTATTTCAACGATTCATCGATGCGTCGTTTAAGAAATAGTTTGCTTGGCGGGGGATTAACACACGCAGATAGCAGGGATTGTCTGAGCTACAGAGAGAGCTGGAGGTGAGTTAAAAGGTGCAGCTCCCCGACACCCAGTTAACTCATGACTGTGAGGTTACAACTCACGGCCAAAAAGGAGAACAACAAATGCACGTGTAAACATTAACAGCTGAGGTCTGCGGCTTACTTTGGCTAGCCTTCAACTCAACAATCAATCGTGATTTCAGTTAAATGTTAAAGTTGCTGTTAATGTTTCCTGGTCTGTGGTCCACTGCTTTCTGATCAGGCGCCGTCGTGCTGTTGCCGGGGCGATATAAGTTTCGTTTTACAGTGGACGGACGGTAACATTACAGAGTTGTTTTCTTAGCTTGAAATAATCCCATACTTTAGACACTTTCTTCTTTCTCCCTCGCTATTTTCTCTCTTCCTCCACTTTGCGAACAGCACCATTATAATCACGTCGTGTTTACAGCGTAAGCGCGATGTGCGACAGTAATAAATGTCCGTGCGAAACACTGTGGTGTATAGTTAAATGGATTAAAGGAAGCATCAACGCAAAGAATGTGTGTCGATGCATTTTATTAATTGATTTTATTGATTTAATCGATGAATCATTTCAGCCCTAGTCTTATCTAGAGCAGAAACCCTGGTTCTGCTGAAGGCTGACTTTTTTTCATGACTGTATTGCAGTTTTTTCAAGTCAAGAGGAAGGTCCACATAAAATATTACCAATTTTGTGCTTTTAAAAGAAATGAAACATAAGTTCCAAAACCCCCTCCCCACACCAATAATTTTCAAACACTCCCTAACCAGGATTATTCCGCAAATTTTTTCCAGTCTTTTTTAAATCCTAATGCTCCATTAGGGGCCCTGGAGACCTCCGTCTCCTCTCTATTTTACAGCTCAAAAAAACACCATGACACATCATCATTTTACCTAATTTTATGGGAATGGCTTTTGAATCAGATTTTAAGATGATGACTTTCAGAAGTCTGCTAATTACTTTTGTTTTGTGGTCTCAGAGCAGTAAAAGTTGGTTAATTACAGTGGATTTTCATATGCACCATCCCTCCCAAAAGTCTATTTGGATTTCTATTGTTGCAGTTGTATAACAGTTCTGTCTGTCTTCTTGGCAAACAAAAATATATGTTCATGCATAGCCCATATAAAATAAAACATTAAATATTTACTTATTTGGTGCAGTACCTGTTACTCATATCTGTATCACCTTCATCAAAGTCCAGTTTGCTGCAAAGGGAAAGGTTACCACTTCAGAATGTAGCGACACATGTGGTTTTGAAAAGGAAGGAGGGAAAAACTAAAATTTAATGGGAAAAATATGTTTTTTCTTTTAATTTCTTATCATTTTTCACACATTAAAGCAGTGGGGTCTGTGGGACTATAATTATCTCTGACATTTTATCCTCAAGGTTAATTTTACATATTTGACTTTGAAAATTTATCACGATGATGTTTTGCAAGCGGATATTTGTATTCACATGTCTGTAATGATGTGATTTATCAGTCTGATCTGGTATTAAAAGCTCCTTTGAAGTTGGGAAAGTCACAGACATTTCCACATTTCCATTTGTTTCTTATAATTAGAGCAGGAGGAGGCACTGATGCATAAACTGACTGTGCTGCAGCACCACCTAGTGTTTTTTCAACAATATGTGTAGAATAAAATGACAAGTAGTTTTTTATTTTGTATTTGAAGAGAATTAATGCTTTAAAAACCTTTGGTTTAGTGTATCCTTAAACATTCTGATCAATTAATTACTTGTCAGATATCAAATTAAATTGCCTGCCTTTCAGAGTACTAATGAAATTGGAATTGTTGTATTTTGATAATGCTTCACTGATAGCTGAATGATGAATTGCCCTCTGGGTAATTAATGACCATATTAGTGTAATCTTTTACCATTTGCTGTTTTGCATTCATAGTACAGGAGACTTGAGTAATGAGACATCATTTGGCTGTTTTTATTGGATCTTATAATCTTCTTTTTCTCAGATCCCCACTTCCTTAACAACAAGGATATGTCCGATGTTACTTTCCTGGTGGAGGGGAAACCGTTTTATGCACATAAAGTTTTGCTGTTTACAGCTTCACCCAGGTAAAGTTTTTTATATATATATTTGTTTGTTCTTTTTTCCTATACAGCTATAGTAAACATAATAAACAAAATTTCTTCTGTTTCATCCAGGTTCAAGTCACTACTCCAGAACCGACCTGCAGCAGAGAACACCTGCATTGAGATCAGCCATGTCAAGTACAATATTTTCCATGTAAGATATTTATTGCATCATCATTTGCTCTCCAGTAATAACACAAAACCTCATTATGTTGTTGTTTTTTAAAAAAAAATGCAAAGTCAGTTAGAGCTGCAACAAATTTGGGGAGCTCAACCGATGCAATCATTTTTTGTTTTAAAAACTTGTAACGATATTAGTACTTTATAAAAATACAAATACAAATATAAAGAAAACGTTAACAAAATTGATAACAATCCTTCAAATGTGTATAGATTGAACCCTCTACTGTTCTGTGTTCCAGTTGGTCATGCAGTATCTGTACTGTGGAGGCACTGAGTCTTTGCACATACGCAACACTGAAGTTATGGAGGTAAAAGAGACTTAAGCAAAGCCTGCTGAGCGACAGCGGAAGTATTAGCATTTCTAATCCCAAGTCCTGTGCCTCATTCTGTGTGGCTGTACTGTTCCCCGCAGCTCCTGTCTGCCTCCAAATTCTTCCAACTAGAGGCCCTTCAGAGACACTGTGAGATCATCTGCTCCAAGAACATTACGACGGAAACCTGTGTGGACCTGTACAAACACGCCAAGGTGAGATGTTGGAGAACATTTATTAGTCAAGTTGTAATAAAATGTCCCTGTTTAAATGCCAAAAATGGAAAAACAAATGTTAATGTAATTAATTCTTATGAAAGATGCAAACATAACAGAAATATAATAATTATACTGCCTATTAAATGTATTTTTATTTAAAGCTGCTCTATTCTATATTTTTATATTTAGAATGGATCAAATGAATACAAGTATGTGAAAGGGCTTATCACCGACTTTTCCTTAGCTCCACAGAGCTGATTGAAGTCATTGTTTTGGATTTATGGCCCACAGTTTTATTGTTTTGGATCACCCTAAGCCCTCTCATCATAGTGTTTAGTTGCAACTGTACACTATCAGCCCATCACCAAAAGACAGACAGAAAAAAAAAAGGAAGTCCTCTTGACCTTAGTCTTATTTCCAGGTGAAACTGCAAAAAAAGTCAGAAGAAAAAAATTACATAAAAGCAGCAGGGAAGTGTGTACTGACAAAATGTGACAATGAATTCACTTAATAAGATGACAAAAATAATGTAAAAATTATCATTAGCGACACTAGCAGTATGGCTCTTGGTTGGTCTGTCCAATGCTTTGGTCCAGAAATATCTTAAAAACTACATAGATGGATGGATCATCTGGTGCAATCAACAGGTCAAAATTTCAGTTTGTCCAATAATTTGGTTTATGACTAAATCATTGCCAAACTAATGACATTCCAACCAGCCCCGGTTGTACTTTGCGTTTAGTGCTAAGTATTAGCATGCTCACACGCTAAACCAAGAGAATTATTATGGTAAACATTGTGCCTGCTAAACATCAGCATGTTAGCATTGTCTTTGTGAGCATGCTGATGTTAGCATTTAGGTGTGCCACCAGTCTCACCAAGCTGCTAGCATGGCTCTAGACTCTAGTCTCTAGTCTTGTTTTGTCTTGAAAATGGTCAAATTGTAATGTTTGGATGAAAATGTTTTTATTTTCCGAAGAGGGATTAATAAAGGATCTCTTCTAAATGTATATATCAAAAAAGACACCGTGGCACACAACAGTGCCAGTAGTCTTTTCACTAAAAGCAACACAACACTGCACCAATTTTGACCAGGAATGCATAACTTCTCAACTAACAAAAAATTATACCATCAAAATAATTCTAAAAATTCTAATGCTGATGTTGTCATCACCCTTCAGATAAGTTTAAACTCTGCCATTTTCTCTCTATCATCTTTTTTTCAATGTAGTTCCTTGGTGCCACGGAGCTTACGGCTTTCATCGAGGGCTATTTCCTGAAGAACATGGTGCTGCTAATTGAACTCGACAGCTTCAAGCAGCTGTTGTACGAACCTCCTCCCGCCGAGAGCCCCATGTCCAGCTTGTCCAGCCCCGGCATCTGCACCGACATCCTCCTCGACCTGGAGAACACTCTGGCCACACGCATCCGCTCCATCCACCTCTCCACCTCCAAGGGCTCTGTGGTGTGACATTGTCCACTCCGAAGCCCTCCGATCCAGGCACAGCATTCATGTAACACCACTTTTAACGACCAGTGCCATGCTACACAGCCCCATCCACCTGCCCTGGCCCCACTGCCGAGGATGGGCTGTCGGATGTTTTTATGTCAGGGATTCCCTTTAATTCTGCCTGTTGCAGCCCCCTCGAAAAGTTAATGTTGGCATACATGACAAAATCAGAGAGAACTTTCTCGCCTTGTCAGAAGCTTGAACTCTGGTGTCCCAATGGCTCCCACTGATCACTTCACACCCCTACATTAAGAAAAAATAAACAGAACTGACCCTGCAGTATCACTTAGACCTAATCGTGATTTTGAAACTTATTGTATTTCATATAGGATACATGCATGAAATACATTCTGTACGCCTTTTTCGCTTAAAAGGGTAGAGTAGAATTTTAACTCAATAAAAGCAGCTTTCTCATCATCTCTGATATGAGACTTTGGTTTACAAACAACATCAATTTATGGAAGTGGATGCCATTGCAGTATAAAGTTTGACACCAAACGCCAAAATATAATCCAACTTTACAACCAATAAAGTGACTAGTAGCAATGCCACGAGACAGACTATAGGTGGACTTGTTTGAACTTATTTACATTTCATTCTGTCACTTCTATGTTGGATACGTTTCACTGTGTTATATCTACTCTGTGCAGAGGCCAAACTGATCACACGAACTTCCACCGTGGCTGACACTGCAACACTGATTAAACTGAAGACGGCCCATGGGCAGTGAAATCTATGCTGACGTATGCTTGAAACATGGATGTCCAACTGGGAAATTAACTTGTGATAACTCCACGAACACTGTCGACTTTTTTGCATGACACCTACTCAACTGAGCTGCCCTGATATTGCTTTTTATGCAGAGCTTACTTCACGAACCACTTTCGCAAAAGGGGAAGTAAGGGAAAACGCTGCTTATTAACTTTCCATCCACTGCAAAACAGACTGAGTGCGATAGGATTGAAGATGGATTTCGATTGGCAGGGACTTTCTCTTTAAAGCTATTTAAAGCAAAGTGTAAATATGTCCTTAAAGTCATTGTGCTGGTCGTTTCTTTCCTTTCTTTTTTGTAAACTGCTGTACAGTATCCTCCTACACTCGCTTGGCTGATAACACCAGTCTCATTGAATGTGCTCCCTGAACAGTTTATTCCTGCTGTATGTGTCTGTTTATGCAAAAGTTGCATGTTTAATCTGTTTGAATCCTCCATTCCGCTTTAGGTGTGCTTTCTGTGTAGATCGGTAGGGCTGAGTAGGGTGTTGATTGTTCCAATCAAAGTACGTTCCCGTCATTTATTTTGCTATTTCTGATAAATTCCGAATGATCATGAGATGCATTTTAAAGTCACTTTCTGTTTTTGGCTTTACCTCAGCTGAATTTCTCAATAACGTAATTTCTGTGAAGGTGTGTCAACAGAGTTTATTAGAGACACAACAATGTGAATTGTGACTTACAAAGTCAACCACCTCTGAGTGGACATGCTAAAACAGCGGATATATCACAAAAAATGTTTTACAGTTGGTTGAGGTGAAAAAGTTGTTTGATAACAATCAATAAAAACAGACTTGGGCACATGACTTAAACGTCTACTCAAGCTTCCACCAAGCAAACAAAAAGGGCAGCAGATGAAAAAATCAGATCTGTGTGTACCATGAGGAGACTTTCCTCAAATCAATACACAAAACAAACAAATGCCATGTTTTCTAAATTTTGAGGTTGAAGCTAAAGTTTGCGGTGCTCAAAACACAATCTGCAGTTTGAATTAATCATTTTTAACTTCTGGGTCAATTTTGGATGAATTGGGCAACAATGGTAGGTGTTTGTTCACAAATTTAATCATGAATAAAGTTGAAATAGATTGAACTGGTGGCCATAACATAAATGTTTAGGATCGTGCTAGTGTCTTGAAGAGTCCTGTGTTTCTATGTTAAGTAACACTGAAGTAATACTGCTGTTTGAAGAAAATTTTGAAATGGGAATAGAGAAAGGAAAAACAGCAGCTCCTGCCTCTTTGCAGCTTCGTGGCCCTTCATCAGTCATCAAATTCACAACGTGAAACCGTATAAAAAGTATTGTTTGTGACATTCAATCAGGTATCGATGTGGTAATTGTCTCAGGTGTTTTGAGATTTGGTTCAGGGGTTTTCATTGGTTGTTTCAGTGTGTCTTTAGATATAAGATGTGTAGTTTCGTACTGTGAATTTAACACCTGACGAAGGTCCGTGACCAAAATGTTGTGTCTCTTGTAAACTCCGTGCAGAAACCTTTATCCCTTTGTTACACAAGATCACATTTTCCTACACACCTGTCCACCAGGTGTGCATTAGACAATACAATACTCTTAAAATGCTCAACCAGTCACCCATTATTCAACAGCAGCCCTGAGGTGTAAGCCCAGTTGTTGAAATGATGCACATTCACTCAAAAAGGGTAAAAACTTAAAGCAGTTCAACAATATTTGAATAAAACCCAGTTTAGTCGACCACGGCCCCTCTGACTCAGATACATCTTAATTTAGGAGGAAATCACAGAACCTACGGTATATTTTATGAATGTAACAATGCAACACAGGTTGAATATCTATAAAATGTGCAATGTTGTCCAGCAACAAACCAAAAAAAGACGCTTCCTTCTGTTTCCAATGGCTTACAATGCAAATGTCTCTAAAGTGTCCTCATACTTTGTGATGTTGTGCCGACATTAATCTGACTACCTTCAGAAAAGGAGACAAATGTTAACGACTTAAAATATTGTAGCACACTCCAAATTACTTAAATATTTGTTTTGGGCCAAACATTTTTAGAAAAGCATATAGGCATATAAAAGTTGGTTTTAAGTTCTGTAAATAGTTACAGAAAATGAAATATAGATATTATCCTACAACTTTATTTTCTTACCTACATACATAGCACTATATATTTTATTTTACATTCCACAGCTATTTTGTTTTACAAAAGTAAAAAAGATTATATAAAAAGATGCTTTAAAGTTTTGAAATTAAGCAATATTTCCATAAAACTGTAGTACAATGAATAATATGCCACAGGATATGGAGCTACAGTATAAATGTGAATTGAGAGACAAACATAACATAGACAAATGAGTGACTGAAAAGCCTGAATATACTATTTATGTTTATATTTTTGTGACATCGCATGGTGTATTTTCCTTTAAATGTATTTTACTCATTTTAAAAGAATATTTTAAACTTACAGGCTACCAGTCTGTTGACTTTATCCTGCTAGCTTTAATGAAGCGGATCATTTATTTAGACTAACTCTGGTTTAAATAAGTTATCTTAAAAACACATTTGCCTTCATACTGAATCACTATACATGCCCACATTTGAATTGAAACTTGCTATTTAAAAGGTAAAATGTCTTAAAGATGCAAACCATTGTCTCCACAGAGGTAAAAAGGTTCATAATGATGTCAAGCACTTTTTGTGCCAGTGTTACTGTAGCGTCACACACACACATACACACTCAAAAGCATTAGTATTTTAACAGTGAGCTTAAGTTTAAGTCTTATTGTTAGCCAAAGCAGCTGAATATGGCTTTAGAAGAAGAGAAAAAACAAAAGACCTCCTCTGGTTTTTTATTAGTCCAAATATTACGCCATTAGCACAAGACTAACTTCAGCTCGCCGCTGTACTGGCGCTTTTGATTCAAAACTGGGTCAAAGTCATAGAATAAATGTTGGTTCGCATGGCTCTTCTTGTTTAATGTTGTTAAGAATGTGCTTTGTACACCAGCTGTGTCTAACAAGACTCTCCCCTTAATTTGTCTGAGCATTTATTTGCCTGCGTATTTGTTCCTGGTAATAAACAACATTTCCCCTAGACGCAGTGGAAACATGCATGGGATATTCATTCGATTTCAAATCCACAGGGGGGATGAACTTTTGCTATAATTTTTTCCTTTGATGAGAACATGTACAATGTACAAAATTTATATATATATATATATATATATGAAATATAAATTATACATGGTGTGAGAAGCAGGGGTGTGGTGGAGTATAACAACAAAAAGGAATGTTACACTCGTGCTACAGTTTCTGTCGTTCCATGACATGCTTTTGTGGACAGCTAATAAACGACCAGAGTTTAAACCATAAAAAGGTAGTTTTTTGCTTTATTTCTGACATGGTTTTAGCCACGCTAGTGAAGCGTCTCTACTGATGGTAATGTCTTGTCTGTCAGTTGGTTGGCCACTTTGGTCCAGAATGAAATATAACAAATGTTAGATGATGAATTGCCATGTTGTTTTTTTTACAGATATTAATGGTGCCCTGAGGATGAAACCTACAACCTTTATCAATCAAACTTTATTTGTACAGCACCTTAGTGAGACAGTACAAATGTAAACATGTTTCAAGTTTTCTGTTTTATTGTAAAAGCAGTTAATGCTAATGCCAACAGCCGGTGGCAGCTGATGGCTCCCTAACATATAATCCTAGACATAAAAGCACGGACACTGGTGGTGTGTAAAATAAATAAAAGCACTTAAGACATTCATTCAAGAATGATTTGTCTTCTAATGGCTAACACTTCTGGAATGGGTTGAAAATGCCCAATATTTGTAGTGATGTATGAGGAATTCAAAGATTTAACCATTAGCCTACACTGTAAACCCGAATAAGTTCAGAATACTCAAAATATTTGTGGAAACTGATTACCTCAAACCTTTTAAGTAGTGGTAATAATATTTTGAGTCAAACTTAACTTAAATATAATATAGATTATATAATATAAAAAACTTTAATACTAATACTAAATTACATTGATTCACTGATGCTTATATAAATTAAATTCCACTAATTCTTTACTCAACAAATGTAATTGTGCACAACTCTGAGGGAAATCTACTCAAAAAAATGTATTGTGCTAGACTCAAATACTAATGGAAACTGATTCAACACAATTATTACTAGTAAACTTAAAATTTACAAAATGACCGTTTTCAGATACTAGTCCTCAAAATAAAATATTGTATGTATAAAAAATACAAATACAACTCAATTTTTACAGTTCAAGTTCTCTTTATTAGTATCAAAACCTTAAACATCTTCTGTCATTTCTACATTTAACAAAATAAGGTACATCTTGCATAAAGCTGAATAGACTAAGTAATTGACTGCTTGATCAGATAATTAACCAGCAACAATTTTGATAATCAATTTGTTTTCTTTCTTTTTTTGCAATAATGTTGAACATTTTCTATTTCAAGATTCTTAATGAGATTTCTTGGTGTTAAGTCATAATAACTTCTCATCTCATGAGCTTAATAAAATTTCCTTTTACTACTTTACTGTGTTTTGTGGAAAAAGCTAATATGCATAATTTTATTCCATCAGCAGCACTTTTACTTAAATATTATTAAAGGGAGCTGCAAATTTGGAGTGTTATGGAATCATAAGCAAATAAAGACAGCTAATAAAGATTGTTTAAAATAGGAAGTTCCACACTATGCAAATTTTTAAATCAGGTAGACGAGGTAATTGAACAAAATCAGGGTTTTTTGCACATTTCCATCCATCCATCCATCGTCAACCACTTATCCTGCGTACAGGGTCGCGGGGGGCTGGAGCCAATCCCAGCTGACATCAGGCGAAAGGCGGGGTACACTGCAGTCACAAAATTACTGTTTACTGTTTGTAAATAAATGTATTCAAATTAGGGTTGAGTGATGTCTACAAAATTGGCATTGGACGATGTCAACAATGAAACACTGGGATGGACGATGACATTGATAAGCTACGTAATAAACAAGCTGGCATGTGGTGCACCTGCTGACTTGAAAAATGCATCACCGGTGGGGGGGTGTTGGTGACTTTATAAAACATAACCTACTGCTGATGGATAAACTCAGTGGAGCAGACAGGGAGACTGAGAGAGGCAGGGAAAGCCGGTGTGTTTGCAGTGGGAGACCAGAGGTAAAGGTGTGTGTGAGTGAGTGCAGGGAGAAGTCGAGGCAAGCGCAAAGCAGGTACATTTACAAATAATAATAAAAATAATGTTGGGGATTAGAACATGCTTTCACAGGGCGGTATAAATTAAAAAATTAAGATTTTTGTGTGGGGGATTGTGGGTCCTCCCCCAAGAAAATTATTTTTTCCAATAAAGAAATATGCAATTTCACATAATTTTGGAACATCGTTATTACCACATCTGTGAATAATAAGTAGGAAAATCTAGAGCAGATTTGGAATAAATTACACCCCAAAAGCTAAACTTGCTAAATAAGTCTACTGGGGTTGAATTCTAACCATTAGATCTGGGAAAATTTATTTGGTTAGTTTTGATGCTCTCCACAATGATTTTACATTCAGTGCACAGCACCAAGCAGTGTTGAGCCTCTCCCCCTTATAATGGCAGGAAAACACTGTTAACATGACCTCAGAATTAAGAGTGCTCCGATCGATCGGTCACCGATCGTAATCGAAGAAGAGCCGATCAGATGATGCACTACTCTTCAGACAAATTTTCAACGGCAGCTAAAATGGTTACACAACGCCATCTGAGCAGTTTTCAAAGCTAGCTACCACCAAAGTCCTTTAAAGACAGGAAGCGACTGATGCGCCCAGTTAATCATTTACAATGAGAGTTGAGCAGCAATCAGACAAGTGGAGAAACAAGCAGGAGCGATCACAATAAACATGACAACAGAAGAGATTTGGAAGCCAGTGCTGTAGGGCTGGACCCAAATATTCGACTATTCTTTCATTAGGTTGGTATTCAGTTTTCAATTTTTGGATGTGGAGATTCGCAAAAGCACCTATAGTTCTGTCCCGCACAACACTGCACACACACCAGCTTGCACCGCCCTTTTCAGTTTCTTTCTTGCTTTATCATACAGGGAC